TGCACAGGCCTCTCCTGATGAGCAGACCCTGGGCTCATCTGATGATACTTGGATGCGGAGAGAGGAGGAGTAAGCCCCACCTTCATGTAGCTTTGCACCCTTGGGTCTGCCTCTTGACTTCCTTAGTTTCTAATTTCCTATTTGTAAACTAAATGAATTGCATGAGATATTCTCTAGGATTCCTTGTGATTTCTCAATTCTACGCATGGTACTTGATACTACACTTTAAAAAAATGACTACTTCTTTAGTTGGTAAAATAGCAAAAGAAACTGTAAAAAGACAGAGGACCTCTTGTTTTTCCCAGTTTACTTTGTTTTTGTAAATAAGGTTTTATTGGAAAACAGCCATGTCCACTGTTACCTATTCTTTGTATCTGTTTTTTTTTTTGCCTCTGTGAATGTGGAAGGGGAAAGCTTTGCAGACTGGTCTTAGGAGAGAAAAGAGAGAGCAGACATCTACCTGAGCTATGGGGTAGGGTGCAGACTCTTGTGTGCACAAGGCTACCCTGGCCCCTGGGAAGGGGTCACCAACAGCGGTTGCCCAATGCCCCACCAGGCCTCCTGGGAGCAGGGATCTCCTTCATCTCCACCCCAGCCATCTCCTGCGCCTCCCTCCAGCGGGCAGCCAGATGTGCACGGCCCTTGGCTATGAACTCAGGTCTGGCTCAGCGCTTTGTGCCCTTCATACTGAAATGCTTCTCTCTTTTCATGATATCACAGTGATACACACCACTTTAGAGCAACAGGAAGGTACAGAAAAGTGTGAGAAGCAGGAAAACAATATCAGCTATAATCCTATCACTCGAGCTATTTACATTTCAGGACATTTTCCTCTAATGCATTTTTCTCCCTTAACGTGGATGCACATTTTGTAAATTGCTTTTTTTTGCTCAGCCTCCTAGCATGTTTCCGTGTCATTAACTGTATCTTGTCTCCCACTGTCGCCTTGTGTTAGCCCTCTACTCTTGGCCTCCCTGTCCAAGTCAGGGATTCCGGCCTCTACTCCTTGATAGCAAGCACTCTCCTTTCATTGCCTTGGCTTACCATTCTTTAGGGTCCTATGTCCTCCGTGAAGCCTTTCAGGGTGATGGTGAGCAGCTCTCCTGATTGTCCATCCATCCCTGGGCTTTGGACCATGGTTCTGGTCTTTGACATGTGCTGCTCTGGACTTTATTGTAAACTCCATATAGCCAATTGGCTGTCACAGAGTGCTCCTGCTGAACTCAATTCACTGGCAGATCTACTGTGGTAAATGACAAACATGTCATCTGATGTAAATATTGGTGGCTGTTTTCATTTAATGAGTAAGACAGAAATGAAGCAACAAAGTCTTATATTGGAACTCCATTCAACAATAGCCTGAGCTACTTCTAATACAGAAATGTTATGGCTTGTATCTAGATGTTCCCCAAAGCCTCATGTGGTCATAGGTGGGGCTTTTGGGAAGTGGCTGGATCATGGGTGTGTGATACTGCATTATGGCTGGGTGATAACTGGATTAGTCTACTGACTGGTTTAGCATGTTTTGGGTGTGGATGATGGATTTACTGAAGAGGGAAACCCCACCTAGGGTGTGGGTGGTACCAACCAATAGGCTTAGAAGCTGGATGAAATAAAAAGGGAAAGAAGGAAAGCAGGATTGCTGCCTCCTGCCTGCCCTACTATGGACTGTTTCTCTTCTTCCATGCCCCTCTGCCAGGCCATCCTGCCTTGGAGCCAGCTGACTATGAACTGAAATCTCTACAAAATAAGAGCTAAATAAACCTTTCCTCCTTTAACTTGTGGATGTCAGGTATTTTGTCCCAGCAACGAGAAAGTAAGACAAGAAAGAATATTTCCTCAAAACTTTTTGTGTTATTTATAATCAGAATAGTTATAGACACAAAACACTTTTAAGTTTAACCTTATAATCAATAATTTTTCATGGCTTTCTTAAGTCTGGACCAGGGGCTGGCAATTTATGGCTTGACATATCTAGCCTACCATCAGTTTTTGTAAATACAGTTTTATTGGAAAACAGCAGTGTCCATTGTTACTTATTCTTTGTAGCTGGTTTTATGCCAAAATGGCAAAGTTGAGTAGTTGGAACAGAGACTTTATGTCTTACAAAGTGAAAAATATTTACTACCTTTTCTATTATAGAAAAAGTTTGCTCCAGGCAGTCAACAGAACAAGAAATCAAACCCTCATTTGTAAAGTTTGTGATTGCCAGGTGTAAATGCAACCATCATAGTGGCTATTAAGCCACCACTGTTCTGTTATTGGACATGGAGTTGGGAAGAGGTGCATTAGGCACATGACCAACTAGTGTTTCCACCATATGGCGCAATCCATGTAAAAACTCTAAGGACAGCGATAAAGTCAACTGTAGCACAATCATTAGGAACAGAGAAGTTTTAAGTATCTATTATTTCTAGTTTTAACGTAACTGATAAAAGTTTTATAATTTTACAATAATGGCCGTGTTTAAAAATCAGCCTTCAAAGTTCTTGAAAACTTAACAGTTGACTCTGTGAAGGGTTAAGGCTGTGATGTTCGGTGGGGAACATCTGCTCCCCAGCCATGTGGCTAGACATCTGACACCTAACTCCATCCTGGGGAGGCTCTTGTGCTCCTTTGCCTTAAATTTGAAGCAAGAAGGCCCTGCGTAGCTGGGACTCCAACCCACCTGTTGATTAGAAAGTCTCTGCATGCTGGACACTGGGCAGGAGTTTAACTTGGGTCTCCGCCCACCACATGTGGAACTGAGTCATTCCAGGCAGAGCCAGCCAGAGGCACAGATGGTGCCCTGACCCTGCCTGGCCTGGGCTGGGCACTTCACGGAGCCCAAGCACAAGGTCTAGCTGCTCAGTGCTTCAGCCAGAAAGCCCAGCTTTCCGTTTTGGAAGTGCCGGCGTATAGCTGGCTCATACCCAGGACTGAAGCCAACTCAGGCTTCCCTAAGCCACTTGGCCTTGGTCTGGGAAGACAGTGCTCAGGGTCTGTGGCATCCTTGGGGCACGACTGACTGACCCACATGATGTTTTCTCTAAGGAAACCCATGCTCAGAGCCCTCCCCCCTCAGTGCCCAGGGAGGGACCTTGGAGACAAGTTATTTCTCTGCTAGTTGCTTCCAGCTCACTTGGAGCTGAAGACAAACTGACTGAGGCATCTGTGTGAAACAGCAGGGAGACAGGTGCTTGAGTTGCTGGGCTGACTTCCCATCCCATCATGCTCTGCTGTGCAGCCTGAGGGGCCCCGATGTGCATGGTCAGGCGCATGTGTGCAGGGACACAGGATCTCTGGCCCTGCACCAGCAGGAGCATCCTTGCCTCTTGCCTGCCCCGATGTCTCATGCCAGTCCTCCGTGCCTGGCTCACATGTTCTTCTTGAATCTCCTGGATCCTGCTCAGTCTGCTTTGGGTAAAGCTCATCTTACCTAGAGTGTGGGTGTTTTCCACAAACCAGCCAGAGGTCCCACCTGTCACCCGTAGTCATCTATCCAGGGTGAGTGTCTGGCTGGACTCCTTTCTGGAACATTTGCTCGCGGTATGAGAGAAGGCATAGTCTCTCTGGAAAGAAATCTGGGACTCGCCAGTGCCATTGTGGAGCCAACTAAGGAGGAGGAGAATGGAGAAAGAGGCACAGGGAAGCGAGGACAGAGCGAGGATGAAGGGCCGTGGTGTCTTTGTTAGGGTCATAGATCTAGCTGTACCTGAGTTTATACTCTGGACATTGCAATTATATGAGGAAATACTTTTCCCTTTTTGCTTAAGTTCGTTTGAGTTGGATTTCTGTCCTTGGGACCCAAGGTCCCCTCTGATCCATTCACTGGGTATTCTTTCTTGCTCCTTATCTCTAAATACATTGACTTTCCTCTGTCTCCAGCACACTACGGTCACCCTGGGCCTGGGTCCCTGTCAGAGTTGGAGCCTTTGACTGTTCTGGGGGCGTCTGTATCCCAAGTGATGACTTTTGAAGTCCATCAGTCTGTGGTTGGGAGGTCTGGGCAGCCTGGCTTTGTGCACAATGGTTCATTCCAGCACACTTGCTGGTAGAAGAAGGCAGGGCTGAAAAGCTACAATCCTGGCCCTTTTATGACATATAATGTAGGGCCCCTGTGCAGAGCAAAATCTGTCACCTGTCTCCAAGGGCCTTGTGCTCAACATGAAACTCCTGGCATCTTCAGCCTGTACCGTTTTATTGCTCTGGGCTCAATTTCTCAGGAGCCCTCACTGCTGTAGGGAAAATTTCTTAGGGACCACTGGTGTGAACTAGCAGCGCACCTGACTTATTAACACCCAACTTTCACCCAAGTTCCCCAAACACCAGGGTGGCGGGAGCCTGACGTATCGGTAACTCGAGCTTCCAGCTGACCTAGTTGTAGGCAGATCATCAATGGCTTGGTGGTCTGACTCATGTAGCACATCAGTGCATTTCCAAAATTGAGTCAGATTTACAGCTTCTTGGTGGAAATTGGCTCTAATTGAAGATTTTACAGGAAAAGATTTAAGTTGCACATTCCCTAGTGTAATCAGAGTTTTCTTTAAGCTGGTGCTGTTTTTCCCCACGGTGCTGCACAATGGGGCAGGCCATTGTCCCCATTCATGGCCTTTAATATTTCCCATTTCTGTTCTAAGTGGGTCCTCAGGTGGACCCAGGATCAGAATGGTACCAGTGCATGTTTCTAGGTCCTCCCTTAGGCCACCGAGCCAGGAGCTCTGGAGAGGCTCAGCAACTGTGCTGTAGCAGGTTCTCCCCAGGATTTGGATGCCGGACCTTGTCTGAGACTGATTGGGCCCACACGGTTCAGTCTCTGCATCAGTTTCCATACCCCGACCACAACGCAAAGGGCCAGAAGGATTCAGGAGGGGCCACCTATTCTCCTGGACCAAGCTCCTTGGGAGTCTCAACCCTGGCCCAGGGACAGTTGTGCTGCTAAGGTGCAAAGGGTCTCTCCAGATTGTCACACTGGTGACCCTGGCCTAAGGAGACACTGGCTCCTCTTGTCATTGCTGCAGAGCCTCAGAGAACATAGGGACATCTGAGAGACAGCTCATCATGCCACCAAACAACACAGCAGGCAATGGGACACAAACATCTCCAAGGAGAGAAACAGGAAGATCCAGGCCTCCTAGTAACCACTGGAATAGGAAGCCACATTCATCTTTCAAGGTAAATAGCAGTCAGTCGCAGGGCCGAGGAGCCTTTCCAACAATGGCTAACCTACCCCGACAGATGATGACACTTGCATCTCAATTTCCCTTTTAACTCGAAGCCACTGAGTGGGAAAGGAGAGAGGTTTCCTCTGCCACAGATCCTACTGGTGCAGGCCAGGAAACATGGCTGGCGCTAACTGATGGGCTGCAACGCGCTCTAACACTGCGTTTCCTAGACAGGAGCCATGGAGGCCAGGCCACATGGAGATGGGAAGATGCGGGGCCGGGAGGCTCCCGGGGCAGCTAATGGTCCCTTCTTCCCTGGGTTCCCATCTCAGACTCCGGTGGGGTCCCTCTGCTTCTCTCTCAGCAGTGCTCCCATCATGAGTGGCCTCTGTCTTTGGGGCAGGGAGGACAAGAGCTTCCCCCACTTGGTATCTGTCGAGTCTGGGACTGCAGGTATCTGCTCACACTCCTGCTCTGCCAACTGGAAAGGGCCTTCAGTTACCACGTACTGACTGCTGGCCAGACACTGCTGAGTGCTCTGGGGCCAATGATCTGGCACCTTATGGACTGTGTGACTCTGGGCCGGTCACTTGCCCTCTTTACACTTACTTTCCCTCTTAAAAACAGGGATGATGACAGCACCCTTGTTCTAGGGTTGCAGGGCAGTAAATGGGAATTCTGGGAAGGCAGAATTCGCCTCACCTGCCCCTCCATGTGATGTCAGGCTCCTGTGTTCCTACAGCCCGAGCACCTGTGGTCCAGCTGAGGTCTCCTCCCCAGAGAGGGAAGTCGTCTTATTTGCCTTGGCTTTCCAGCCCTGGGCACAGAGTCTAGGCAATGTATAAGAGTGAGGAAGGAAAGAGGGGATTGCAGGGTGAGCCCGAGAACCCCGGGCCCTGAGCTGACAAGACGAGGCCAGGGTCCCTGAGCAGGGAGGTAACAAGTGCTTTCACCCAGCTGGGTGGGGAGCTCAGAGACCTTTGTCAGAGAGGAAGGAAGGGCTGTGAACAGCTGCCAGCCTTCTGACCACGTCCCGGGCCCCCAGAGTCACACAGCTATTCAGCGACAAAGTTTGGGCCGTGTAACTCTTGGCTGAAGTTTACTATTGTGGGCAGTGTCTGACGCACACTGGGAATTTGCTGCAAAGTCTTGGGTCTGGTGAGATCAAAATAATTAGGGGAAACAGGAGGCAGGGAAGGGAAAGTAGCCCCGGGCAACTGTCAGGTCCTAATCTCCCAGGTTGTACCCCTGCCCCAGTGTCCCTGCCCATGCTTCCAGAACCGGTTAATTCTCTCCCCAGCTCTCTCCAGACTTCGCCTGGCCCTGTGAGTCCTGGCACGAGACATTCGGCTGTGTCAGCCAGTCTCCTCACATGTAAAACATGAAGAATTCAGCCACTGGAAGCCACATGCTAGACGTAGTAATAAAGCCTACGAGGCTGGATATGGTTCAAAGGGTTTCATTGCCTTTGTATTTCTTTCTGTTCCTGGCTCCTCTGGGTGATTCTCCCAGTGAGAATGCTAACAGGGGCTGATTACTCCTCCCCCAGGAGATGAGGTGCAACCCACTGGCCTTGGGAATGCTGTTTCTCAAAGTGTGGTTCGGGGACCGGGACCCTTGTCAGACACGCACAGCTTGGAGCCCATCGGGGGCTGCTGCACACGCTACCCATGTCTTGCGAATGTGCTCTGATTGGTTGTTCAGCATAAGTCTCAAGTTCATCGGTTTACATAGGGGTTTACTTCTCCTGCAAAGGTGCCTGCTTAGGTATTTACTAATACTTAGTTATAATTTATATTATCATTTATTTTAAGTATTAATGTCAATAATAGTATTTATTATATTTAATTCTACTTTAGTATTATTATTTTATAATTTAATACGTCCACAGTGTGTTACAATGGATGTACCAAATGCGTCCACCTGGCTAATGATCTTAACTAGGGCTTATTCTTGTGGTAGAGCTTATATTACGAGGATTCTGAAAAATCATGCTAAGCCTTATTTTCCAGTTGGGTCTTATTCTTGGGGAACTAAGGGAGAAGTTTACAAATGTTTAAGACCAGCCATGAAGAGTTGCAGAGTATCTCAACCTATCTTCTTGTGTATCAGAACAGCCAGTGGGGTCTGTCCTAGTTGCCTCATTGCTGGTGTCTTAACGGAGGTCACCTGAGGAGAAGGTGACATAGCTGTATCTCCAGGTCTACACGTCAGATCGGGTCTTTAGACGTCACATCCTGTTCTCTCACTCAGGAGCCCATGATTATTTCCACTGAGCCTGGTCCCTTGCCAGGCCTGATGTAGAGCTAGCAGTCTGTCCTTCCAGCCCGGCTCTGTCCTGGGGCACCAGCCACCATGCCAGTCTCCTTTTAGGCTCTGCCAGGGTGTGGGCAGGGCAGGCAGGTATGCTGGAGGGCAGGCAGCTGGCCTGGCGACCTTTCTCTTGGCTGAGCTGGGGTGAGTCTGGAAATGCGCTGGCTGAAGGTGGCAGTGTGTGTGGGAAAAACACCTCTTAACACAGAGCCTGCGTGTTGGGCTCCCATTGTGCAGGTGCAGGCTGGTGCGTGCTGGGGATGTGTTTTCACTTACCCACAACACCAGCCCCTTTGGTTTCCGGCCAGCAATTGCCTGTGCTTCATCACCCTGCTGAAAGGGCCTGCTGCCCTGTGCTCTGCCCAGCACCCCGCTAGCTGCCAGCTGGCTCCAGGCTCCTTGGTGGAGCCCTGGCTTCCTGGACCCTTCAGCAAAGGCCCCCTATTTGGGCCATGTGGACTTACTTCTCTCTTTCCAATCTCATGGATATGTATGAGGCTCTTTTCTAACTCTGAAGCCCTTTCTCCCAGAGTTGCTGCAGTTCCACAGAACAAAGGTGATCAGCCACACTCACAGTGTCCCCTGTACCTGGCCCAGGACCCCAGCCAGGGCAGGGCTGTGCAGCACGCTTGATGGGCCTGATAGGATGACCGAGACTGTTGCTGGAGAGAGGATCTTTAGAGAGGTGATCAAATGAAGTGAAGTCAAATTCAATGCTTAGGTTCAATGTTGACCTTACAGAAAATTTGATTTGGTTCTCATCCAGTTTGGCTCAAAACCACAAGCATGGAAAGAACTAAGTCCGTGCACCGAGGTAGCACTGTATTTCTGACTCATCTGAGCCTCAGACTCCAGCCTGAGTGTGCACACCCTGCTTATCCCGGCCACTGGGTGGTCTCCCAGATGTGAGGTCCCCACCTCCCCTCCGGAGACCCTTCTTGGCTTCTCCCTGCTTTGACATCACCCTTCTCTCTGTGTGTACGAAGGCAGTGGCCAGGACACGAACATGACACGGAAAGAGCACTAATCGTGGAACAGTGGCAAGAAGATGTGTGTCCCAGGCAGGGAGGAGATTCCTCAGGTGTTGTGTTGATATCACAAAGCCACAGAGAAGTGGCTGAGGTCCAGCTCAGTTCATCACTACCGTCCTGAACCTCGAGGATTCCTGGGAGCCCCTTTCAAATGTCCTTGGCTACTTTAAAATGGGCCCAGAGTGGCTACTCCTTCCTTTGGGTTGCTGCACCAGTGCTCACATTCACGTGTCTCACCTGACTTGGACCACCGGGTGCTGTGATAGTTTCAGACGCGAGGGGACCAGGATTTTGTCCTTCTGAGCCACCGAGGCTGCTCCCGCCTGCCGCTCAGAGTTGGTTAAGGCGAGCATCACCTCCAGTTAGAAGCAGCCAGAATGTGTCCCTGGCCCCATCAGCAGCGACATCCTCAGAGGGACACTGCCGAAGGCTAAGGTACTCTGGTGGCCCCTCGGGTCACAGCAGCTGCACTGGAAATCAGCACCAGTGAGCCGCAGTGGGACCTAGGTCACCCTCAAGCCAGTCCACATTTCCGCAGAGCCTGCAGGGCGAGTTCTCAGGCTAGCTGGAGAGCTGTGGGTTTGGAGTCCGACAGGCCTGGCTGAGAATCCTGTCATTTCATTACCCTGAGCCCCAAGTGTCCCCATCTGTAAAACCCAGATAATAAAACCTGTCCTAGAGAGTGGTTTGCATGGATTAAGTGAAATAAATAGGCACAGCACTTGGCACATGAAAAGGTTCTTAAAAATAGTAGTTGCTATTCCATATATCTTGATTCCACTCCATGACAGCAGTGTAAGAGCTCTCTTCCAAAAAGCATCAAGTGTATATTTTTACAGTCAGCATTTGATTCCAAAATGATATGCGCCAGAGGGTTCTTACAGAATTGCACTTCCTGTGTCTGGGGGCCTGCACTCCCGAAGGCAGCTGCATGAACGAAGGTGAGGTCAGGAAAGAGCCTCTCAGTTAAAGTGGGCTGAACTCTTCTTGCTTCCATCCTTCTCTTTCCCAGCCATGTTTAAGTGCAGATTCGGGGGGAGGTTAGACCTGCGGCTTGGTCGGGGCAATGACAACCACCCACACCATCCCGTGTGACACCCAGGTGAGATCAGAGGTAAAGGGATTCACCTGGGCTGTGTCACCATCTGTGCATAGATGGCAGGAGACTTCGGATTGAATTGCTTGAATTTCCTGGCCAGAGAACCAGGAAACAGCACAAGAAAACCAGGGCAGCCAGGCCACAGGGTTACCGCAGAACCTAGACAGCGCCCACAGAATCCAGCCACACGCAGAGAGGAGGCCACTCAGACCAAACACATAGTGGCAACTTCCCCTCTCTGACCGATCAGCACCAGTTCAGCCTGTTCTAATCTCCTCACCTGCCCCATCCCGGCTGATTAAGCACTAACTAGTTAACAACCAGCAGTTACTAGATTATTGTGATATCCGGTCACTCAGCTGCCATCCCTCCTGGCAGAATCCACGCCAGAACCGCTCGACCTTCCTTAGCCTCACCCTGTCTCCTAGGCTGCCTCTTCAACTCTGTCCACTCGGGACACTCAGGGCTTCTCTGGGGCGCCTTCTCCCTGTTTGCACTGAGCTACAGAAACCTCCCTTGCTTTAACACCTGCCCAACATTGATATTCTAAGAATCTGGTGACACAGAGCTGGTAGGGACGAATTTTCAAGGCTGAAATTGCTGTTGGTTGATAAGCTAGTATGATGCAGAATTTCCAAACACTTCTCTTTTCAGTCTCAGAAGAAAGGATTTTGTGATGGAAGATAAGTGTTCAAGCTCCACAGTGTGTTCCTGCTTTGGTTTCACCATCTAAAGCTCTCCTGGGATTTGGTGTTTGGAGGAGCAATTAACAAGAATGCTTCAGAGACTGGCCCAGGGCGCTGGCCTGCATGGGAGGCAGAGCTGAAGGTTTCTTGGGTGCAGGGCCAGGGAGGGTTGCACAGCTGGTGAGCCCCACCCAAGCTTTCTTTGGCTGACATCGCTCCCCACGCACAGGCATGGCCGGAGATCAGGCTATCAGCCAGCAAGTGCCCTTCCCTGGGTGTCTCCAATTTCACTCTCATTTTCAAACCTCCATGTCGAGGCTTTGGGTTAGACTTCTCCTTCTTCAAGGTTTAATTCAAGTTCCACCTCCTCTGTGAAGCCTTCTGGGCTTCGTACATAATATCATTTGCACACTTCTTAGGTTGAAATTATGTGCCCCCCCACACCCCTGCAGGGGATTGGAAACTCCCTGGCAAATGGAATTGTGCTATTTTTTGGTACTGACCATGGGGCTGGTACACAGCACGTGGCTAATGAATGCTGTCTTTTGGTGCTGCTTATCTTGTTATATGTTTTTCACCATACTGGTTTCTTTTGGGACCCAAGGCTGGAACGTTTGTCACCAGAAAGCTCTTCCCCACCAAGGAAAGGCCAGTCTTGGTCAGCTGAGAAGTCCCTGGCCCTGTCCAGCTGGTAATGCCCAGCTCATGTGAAAAGAATTTCCCTGATCACATTTTCAGGCGGCCAAGGCATAGTTCAGAGTGGAAGGTGAATCAGCCACCACAGTGACTTCTCACATTTCAAGGGAGTCTTGCCTTGGAAATTTTTATTCACAAACTGCTTCACTACACTAAAAAAAATTTACAAAAGAACTGCTTTATTTTCAGCATGCTGATGTCTGGTTTTGGAAGAATGCATTTTCTTGAATGTCTTGGATTAAGAACAATGTAAACCGAGGGAAGTGGCCATCCAGAGGCCCTCAATGAGGACCCGGGTGCCTCCTCCTCAGCGCCTTGGAGGCCATCTTGCTTCTGTGGGGAGAGACAAGGCCTCCTGGGCCTGGAAGCCAGGCGGCTCCATCTTGGCTCTTCCACTCACTGTTTGTGTTTTCCTAGTGGTTCTCTGTGGGTCCAGGGCCCGCAGAACCACTGGGAACTTGTCAGAAATGCTAATTTCCAGGCCCACGGAGCCTGCAGCTCTGCCCACACCCCGGCCCACCACGAGCTTCCTGCACCTGAAGCCTCCAGAGCCCGTGCCCCTCCCAGCCCGCCCCAGGTCACCACTTTGAAGCAAATGTTTTTTTTTAAAAAAATTCAAATCATTAAAGTAAATATACCATATGCATACAGTGGTCAAACATTGCATAACATTCGGAGGACACAGAAACTCAGAAGCTGGTGACCTGCAAACATCTGTGTATATTTTCTTCTGACCCTTTTTTTCTCCCACACAGTGGTAACCACAGGACATACATGGTCAAGTGTATTGCTTTTTTCTCATTTAACAGCGGAACACAAATACTGCTTAGTGTTGTGAGGATGTGTTTTCGCGAGAGTTATGTTTCTAGGCCACACAGCACCGCGTGGGGTGCCCCGCTGTCGGCCCCCAGGTCCTACCCCTGCCCTTGACTCTCCCTGCTCCTCAGCCCTGCCCCGCGCGGGGAAAGCTATCACTGTGTCCGGAAACAGAGTTTAACGGAGGAAATGTTGCTCAGCCCCCAGTCACGGCCTGTCCAGGGTCATCCCGAGCCCCCATGATCCTCGGGCCTAACTTCGCTCCTGGACCTCGCCGCCACGTGGCCATGCTGGGAACTGCACCCCCCCACCTTGTTCTGCTCCTGCGGTTCTCCCCTGGGGCGAATTAAAGAACGAGGCCCAAATCCCGGGTCCCTGTGACAGGCAGGCTGATGCCAGGTGTCTGTCCTGTCCAGGGGAGATGCCCTAGGAGTGCTGTAGACTGCTGGGCTGTAGGGCCAGGAAGTGTGGCTAGGGGTTGGGCTTCTTGCGGAGGAGAGAGCTGTCCGTCAAACAGTTACAGTAGCCCCTGCGCCCCACTCGGAATGTCCTCGCCAGGCTGTGGGGCTCCCTTAGGAGGATCAGGACCCCCCAACACCCACCACTGCCCTGAGTTAAGGGCCCTTCGCTAAACGGAGAGTGCCCTGGGGCCCGCAATACGCTTTTTTCCTGAACCCCACCATTTTTGTTCGCAAAAGTTTCTGGAAGTTTTAATGGCAGATATTTAAAACAATGCTTGGGTAGAGGGCACTGGAGTTGGTTCCAGTTTACTGCGGTTTAACCGGTAATTGCTATCAACACTTTTCAGTGTGTGTGCGTGTGTGTGTGTGCGCGTGCGTGCGTGTGTGTGTGTGTGTGTGTGTATGTAAGTGTGTGTGCACTTCTTCCTGGATGGCCTACTTTTGGAAGGTATGCCTTCATCAGCTCTATGTCTCTGTTTCTGCACAAGGAAAGGCTCATATCTTTGCTCCTTCGAGGTCCTGTAAACACCGCCTCCTCCCAGGAGCCACTGCGTGCCCACAGTTGACAGTGGTCTCTGCCTCTCTGTTCCTCTCCGGAGGGACTCATGCCATTCCATGCCCAGTTGACACAAGTGGACATATGCACGTCCCACACCTCCCCTCGCTCAGTGGTCTCCCTCGCATTGTATTTGACCCACAGGAAGAGCATTTAACACCCTTCTGCTCCATAAGACAAAATTATTCTCAGTAATATTTATGCCAAAATCGGTAATCACTATTTTCGTGGATCATTCTTTAATTTTAAAGCAATGAAGAATTGGTTTTTGAGACAAGGTCTCCTTGCTATGTAATTTAGGCTGACTGTGAACTCACTATGTAGCCAAGGCTGGCCTTGAACTTGCAGTAATCCTCCTGACTCAGCCTCCTGAGTGCTGAGATTACAGGCATGTGCCACCATGCCTGGCTACAGTGAACAATTTTAAAAGAATAAATTTCACCTTTCAGATGCAATAACAATATTTCCTGCAAGAACTCAAGTTTTTGCTTTCCAAACCAAGCCTTCTGCCTCACAGTGCACAATGTTTTTATTTTTATTGCTTTACACTTTAAACATAGACAGAAACTTTCGGGGGATCACATGGGTGACAGAACTGAAGCCACTCAAGTTCTCTGCTTTTGTCTTTACAAGCACTATGCTGTCGGTTTCTCCTGTCTCCTGTCTAAACTCAGGAGCCGGGACTGAGCATGCCAGGGTCGGAGACGCAAGGTGTCCCCAGGTGAGACAGAAGAACGCTGAGTCAGGACCCTCGCTCCTGCAGGGGGCACATGGGCTGGGCTGTGTGTGTCAGGCCGGTGCACAGATGGGGGTTCCTTCAGTCAGTGTCCAGGTAGAAGACAATAGTTATTAAACCATGGATAATAAACATGTATAATTTGATAGATATATTTAACTAAAACTCCACAGTAACCATAGAAGTTCTTCAGAAATTAAACCAAAAAATCTGTCTTTGTTGAGGAGCTTTTATCACTAACATTATAATGAAAGCTAGACTAACTTTTGCTTCTAATGATGTGTTTAAATTTTGTAGTGACAAAACCCTCCTTATTTCTGGCTTCTGGGGCTGCTAGCTGCGACCTCACCGGGTAGAGGGCATGGTGACGAGGACCAGTTGCCCAAAGCAGCATTTCTCAGCTCCCTGGGGTTCACAAGGATGTGTCCCCTTCCTATGAGGGGGCAGAGTTTCTACATAGATGCCACAGAAAATGACACATAGCAAAGGATTAAATACAGAAACAGGTAAGAGAATCCAGCCATCTTCAGTAAACCACCCAACCCAGGAGTTTGCAAAATTTCTTTGTAAAACAGTATCATTCTTCCGACTCATTTTTTGGTTATTATTTGGAAAATACAATGTATTTTTCATAAAGCCATGTTACGTAGGTTAACAAGTGGTGGCTTTGTTACTCTTACTTCAAAAAGTATTGATGAGGGGGCCAGGGATTTAGCTCAGTGGTTTTGCCGCCTGCTGTGCAAGCTCAAGGACCTGAGTTTGATCCCCAGTACCAAAAAAAAAAAAGTATTGATGAAGGTTTTCACGATCTCTCAGTTTTTGTGTCTGGGGCCCTTTATAACCTGCAGAAGAAGTGGAGGTGTGGCTAGGCCTGAATGCAGGGTCGCACCTGGCCCTGTGACAGGTGCCGAGCACTTGACTGGGGGGGTCACGAGTGCCTCCCTGGGCCTGGGCCTTGCAGATTCTGAGCTTTGGCGCTGTGGCCAGGACAGAAGGGCAAGGAAGACACCAAGGTGGGTGTAGGGGCCTCCAGGGTCAACACTTGGAGCAGTGCTGGTTTTAGTTGCAGCACCAGTCAGGGGGATGTGGGCCTCAGGCACGAGGGTGACAGTGGTCCTGAACGTCACAAAACTCACTGTATCCGGTGCCCCTGGGTGCTGAAAGCCAGCAGCAACTGCCTGCCTCTGTCTCCCGGTGAGGGGAGGCTCTGGTTGCCATCTCCCTGGGCCAGGCACAGGGACAGGGCTGCAGCCTCACAGTCAGGCCTGAGGGGCAGGTGCACTGGGGAACCCATTAGGAAGAGGGCAGTAATAGTGGGCGGAAGAAGCTGGCAGCGTGGGGCGGGCTGAGGAGGAAGGGTCCCCCAGGGAGTTCTTCCTGGCCTTTGACAAGTGACTCTGGAGCTCAGTAGGGACCACAGCACCTCAGCCTGGGTGTCGTGGGGCAGACAGTTCGAGTGTAAGGGCCTCTGCCTTCCACCATGTTTGGCTGCGTCCCTGGGCTCTGCCCACCAGTGCTGGAAGGAGAGCACTCTGTCCCTGCTTGTGACACCCAAAACATCCCCAGACATTGCCGCATGTCCCCGCAAGAGCCACTGGTACAGAAACCACCAGACAAGGGCTCCACAGTGCACCCAGGAAGACATCAGACCGTCACACATATGCAGGGTCTGGTTTCCGGGGAGCAGGGGCCTCTGGACTCTGAGCCTCTCTCCTGAGGACCTCTCTGGCTCATCACAGCCTCTTCCCTCAGCTTTTGGATAAATCAGGACCCAGAAAAGCAGCAGGGTGAGGGGATTTTTGAGAAAAATCTGGGTGACTCCCAGGCACCTGAAGGAGGCCCCTCTTCCCTTCATCCTCTACCCAGCCCTGGCGCTTCTACGTTCCGAGTCTTAGTGGCAAAAGCTGTCCAGGGTGATCAACAGTGGGGTGGATGATGAACGAAATGTGTTAGATTCAGATGTGGCCTGCGGCAGTGACAAAAATGAATGAACCACAGCTACAGGAAAACGAGAGGACAAACACCGCGCTGGAGGAGAGAAGCCGCATGCAGGTGCACAGCTGCGGCGTGTCTCCATTTGCGAAAAGGCCCCAACTGGGAAAGTAATATAGGTCAAGGGTTGAGGGGGACACAGGGAGGCTTGGGAATGCCGCCTCAGGTTGTAAAGTCTCACCGCGGACTTACAGTATGGATTCTTAACAGATGTTATGCTCCAATAAAAAACAGGCAAACAGGCACAGCATTCTGGGCCCAAAGACGGTGACACAACCAAGGTCATAACCAAATGCAAAGAAACCGACCTTTCCATTATAGGAAAAAAATTTCTGCAAATTTCAGGTACATAGTCTGTTATGCACCAACTCTCAAAAGTTTTTGGAACTCGCTTCAAGGATAGTCCTTAAGAAACCAGTTCCGGTACCATGGTGTTGATCTAAAGTCCCAAATGGTCATCGAGAATGGTCAGATGGCATGGCTAATGTCACGTCCATCATTTATCGATTGAATACACAGTTCAGCCGGGAACCTGGTCTCCACCTACCTGATCAATCATTTGGATCTGTGTTTGGCCAACAGTCTAGTTTATGAAGTCACAGGCAAAAGAGCAGAGACTGCTACTGAATTCTCACGGTAAAACTTTGGCGGAAAAATAAAGACCAGAAAATATGTTGTATGTCTCTACTTTAGACCCAACTAGAAGCAGCGCTCATAAATTCCTGTCTTCGGAAAGAGCCAGGCAATTCGACAACCCCAACAAGGCACTGTTCCATCCCATGCTGTGCGTCCCGATTGCAAATTAGATGCCAAATTAACTCTCAGGAACTTCCCAAGTCTCTTAGATTGCTCCCTGCTGAAGAAGTCTTAGCTCGACTGCTTCTGAATCACATCTGCAAGAGATTTTGCTGTGAGCTGCGGGCGCTCTTACACTTCCTCTTTCTCCCAGAGTGGTTTTCTAAAATTTCAGTCCTGTTTGCAAAGTGCTGCCTGTCCCTGTGAATCCGACGCAGAACCGCCCGGTATGCTCAGAGTCAAGCCGTGTCCCACACAGGGAATCTTTGTCATGCACATTTAAGAAAGAAAACTCATGCCCGTCTCTAGAGAAAAGACAGACTCTTACCTGGCCCCAGGCTTTGTCCATGGGCACGTGATTGGGTAAAGATGAATAAAACCAAGAAAACGGCAACACAACGGGCCGTTCCCATTTTTCTTGTCTCTCCCGGGACCGAGGTCTTCTTTAATTTCTGGAGCTAGAGAGACCAGAATGCCTATTGGTACTTGGTTAGGGAAGGCTGCCCATTAATCATTAACCTTTCGACAACGTGTTATCCAGTACTCAGACCCTTCCCTCACCGCCCCCAGCCCACATCCAACCATGGCTCCTGCCAAAGAGATTGATTTAGCAAAGTGCTTTTTATCCCGATGCATTTTGAAAATCAAATATCTTGTTGTATATTCTTACCTTCTTGGGCCCTGGTCATAGTTCCAAATTAATCCATTTAAGGTCAATGTGTCAGGTTTGGAAATTCTGTCAAAGGTCAGGGTAGGTGGCTTCTGCCTTGACCAAGTCTTCCTCGGCAGCAGAGTGAAGGGCCCAGGCCCGAGCTGCCGTCTAGGCCTTGCTGTGCTGGGCCCTACAGGGTCACTTTCTGTTTAGTCCGGGAAAGTTGCTGGCATTGGGTGACCTGGATGGAACCCTTACCGTTAGAGTCCCAGTGAAATGGAAGTGAACTGGAAGACCATGCTTTATGGGGATAAAGAGGGCAAATGCCAGGGGACAAGGTGAAAAGCACTCCTGCGAGAAGCAGAGTTTCATATTCAGAATCAGACTTTCCCTCTTTCTCCTGACAATGGTGAGTCTTGTGGATGTTCTAGTGAAAGAGCAAGCAAAACTGTAGTGTTTGGATTGGCACTGTTTTTTCTCTAATTTTGCCACTGAGATAGGAGGGATCAAGAACTGTGTCTAACCAGGAAAAAAATCTGTGTCTCACCAGAAAAAGGCCAGAAGATTGAGGACAGTGGGACCCTTAAGTGCCATGCTGGTTCTCCTAACAGCGGGAACCCTAAGACTCCCCACACTGGCTTTCCCAGGGACAGACCTGGACTTTCCTACACCTCAAGGATCCACTTTCGAGATGGAATTTATGAAGTTTTTGGGCTCACATCATAGGAAAGTGGCTCTCCCTCTTTGGATTTTGCCCAGGGCCAGGTTACCCCAGGGAAATGACCAAGGTTCTATTCTGTCACTGATTGATCCCTGTGGACATTCTTGTATTACTCAGGGACCAGGCAAAAACATGTGGAATAGGGCAAAACAAATAGGGGAACCTCACTTATGTGGTTTGGCTTGGGACCTGCCCTCATTTGCAAAGAGTTGGGCTGGAGTTTAACCTTTTCTTTATCTGTGTTAAAAAAAATGAAAGAAATGTAAACAAATGAATGGTGAAAACAAGATTGCAGAGAATATTTTAGACATTGGAAAGAATGGAAGGTTTCAAGCTTTCCAGCCGGTGTTCATTCATCCGAGATGATCATACCTGGTGACCAGAAGTGCCTTCGCCTGCCTCTGCCTCTAATCATTTGCGTGACTGAAGGCAAATTCTGCCACCTCTCTCTGCCTCAGTTTCCTCCCGTGTCAAATGGGACTGGGAAGATTAAATCACCATCACTCGGAAAGTCAGGAAAATGAAGCCTTTTTGATTTTCATAACAAACGACATAGGAATTATTTCTCCTGTTTTACAGATGAGAAAACTGAAGGCCAAAGATTCCTCGTTCCAGGTCCTGTGCCTAATCAGTGCAGATTGGACACCAGAACTCTAGGTCCTGGAGTTTGGGAAAACAAAACAAGAACAAGAACAAAATCTCAAAGCCAGAGTAGTCTTTTTTTGTGTCTAGGTACTGTAGAACCAATAATTCCTTTTATGACTTTAGTAGTCCCAGGAAATAGAAGATTGTTTTTCCCTCTTTGGATTATGCTTGCAAGTAAAAAGAAATAAAAATTTAGGTTGGCTCCAAACAGTCAGATAGACAGTAGATAGGACATCGCTGGCTCCTTTAAGCTTGCTTTGTGGGGTGGAGGGAGGGCCTGTGTCCTCCTGTGTGGGGTGCTGGCTGGGCATGGTGAGGGTGATTGTGCAGGGTGGCTCTCTGTGGGTGTCAGCGCTTCTGGTCCTGGCTTTCCAGGGCCAGCCCGGGGCACTGGACAGACTGGCATGACCCCTGCCTCTCTGCAGCAGCTGATCTTGACACCATGCCTCAAACTCATCTTATGAGAGCTATGTGCCTGTGGCACCTGGAGAACATGGTTGCAAGAAACCAGGTCCTAAGTCCCATTGTGCCCTTATTTCCCAAGGATCCATGTCGAGTCACAAGGAGCTGGTCACTCATTGACTCCGGGCAGGTCTAGACAGCAGGAGTTAAGAAGTCAGGGGTCAGCTTCTAAAGGGTCTGCACCAGACCAGACACTGTTTGACCTCAGCTGAACCTCAGGAAGAGTCCTCGAATGCAGGCCTGATTATCCCTTGCTACGAGGGAAAGTGGGGGCAAACAGGTCACCGAATTGCCCCAATCCTCATGGCAGTAAATGGTGGAAAGAGATTTCAATGATGTTCCTCTCACTCCAAGGTCCATCCAATGAAAATAGCTTTTCCAGGCAAAGTAGGAGTTGGTTATGAGATCATGTAGCTAAGGTTTTATTTCTAAATGGAATTGCATCACACTCATGATGGCATATGTATAGATCACATAATTGTGACTATTTAGAACAAGTTTTTTGAAGCCCTTTCTCAGATACTTAATGGAGCTAGTCCTGAAAGAGGCCTAGTGGAGGATGGAATTAATGGAGGCATTAGGATGGGATTGGACACATCATCTATGAACACATAGGGAGCTCTGTGTTTGAGCTGATTATTGTCAGGGGGACGCTGTGCTACCCAAGGCCTAATTCAGATGCTGCCATAGGCGTAGAACCACAGCCCTAGAAGCCACGTGGGCTAGATCACACCAGGGGTCTCCAGAAAGCAACAACCGAGCTGCTCTGATTGGCTTTGATAATCCTGTTATGAGACCATTCTTAAAAGGAAAATTGTGACTCTCAGTTCTGTATAAAAACGAACAAATGGTAAATATTTCATTTAAGTCATTAATGGAAAAACAGGTAATGGCATTCAAAGGAGAAGACAAAACCCAAGAATTTGACAGACAGAGGAATGTGCGAATGGAAGCAAAACTAGCTTTTCCCACAGCACAGGAATGAAGCCAGTGGAAGTTCTACAGGCTGAGGCTCAATCTGCATTTCGTGGTGGTGCTGTTAGTTATCTCCAAATTACGGAGTTGTAAGATACTCCAGTGTTGGGATCAAAAACCAGGAAGGTGGCATGGGGTGTAGATCAGGCATTATTTCCAGTGAAGCACATAAATTCCCCTGTAATTCCTACTGTTAAGAAATGATAAAGGAGACAGGTAGCAGGGTGGCTGGCCCTCTGAGAGGCTGAGGCGGGAGGACTGAAGGTTTGAGCCCACCCTGGGCAACTTAGCAATTTAATGAGACTGTATCTCAAAGTAAAAAATAAAAACTGGCTGGCTATGTAGCTCAGTGTGAAGGTCTTGGGTTTGATTGCCAGTAAAACACACACACACACACACACACACACACACGCGCGCGCGGGAGTGTTTAGCTACAGGATTCTAATGTTCACAGATAAGCTTCCTTCGGAGCAATGGGCATCTCTTTTTGTGTCGGTGTCTCTTGGGGGAGACTTTGTGATTGCTGAAGACTGGATTTCCAAGCTGGCTCCTTCCTTCTCAGCCCCAGGACCATGCAGATTACAATACCCTTTCACCTTTGTTTCCTCTAAACCAGGACTGACACAACTGTTGGCTCATAGTGTTCGGGGGAAGAATGAATGAGGAGGATCATGAACCGTGCTTGCCTTCTCGTCCAGCACGCTGCATGTTAGTTGCTGGTGTTTTTATTTAGGGCAGTTTCCCCTCATGCTTTTGGTTTTGCCTACTTTTCATACCTTCCTTCTCTTTCTCTTTTCCTGCCCATTTAGCTGAAATACTAAAGATGGGGAGAACTATTTGTAGTGTTTTAAAAAAGGTATAGGTAGGCTCTATGTTTCTGTCACCAGATAGGGCCCAAGGAGCTACCCTGAAGAGGGATGGGGCCCCTCAACCATGGAGAATGTTCTCGACTCATCAGGAAAAGAATTCCAGGACTGTCAGGGAGAGGCAAATGTATTTATTAGGCAGAGTTAAAGAAGTGCCCACTCAGAGAAAGCAGAATGTGGGTGCTTAGGGGTGAGGTGTTTATGTGTTTGGGGATCTCCTCAAGATAATCTAGGACAGCAGTGGCGAACCTGTGGCACGTGTGCCGCAGACGTAGCCTTGAAAGTGCTAAAAGGTTCGCCATCCCTGATGTGGCATGTGTATTCCTAGTGTTGTCATGTCTTTATTAGTGGGCTAGGTTAGGATGCAAACCATTTCCACGTATTGGAAGTTTAGAGCTCTGGAATCCATCTCATAGTGCTGTTTCTTTGAGTTTGTGAGATTTGTGAATCTATAGTATCAGAGGAAAAGCTCAGTTTTAATTTATAGGTGAAAAGTGCAGGTTCAATTTACAAGTTTATTTTAACTTCTGAGATTCTTAGGGATTGTGGAGTGAGTTTCCCAGAAGGGAGAGAAAGTGGGATTATAACCTTGGGTAAATCTAGTGGTGTCCTGAAGCTAGTTTTCTTAAAAAGTGCAATTGGATTTCCTTCTTTCCATCCTACATACCTCTGTTTCTTCATTTCCTGTTCTTGTGGAAGTTATGTATTCCCTTCTGCTATAAAACATAAAACACCTCTCATACCAATATTTGCTTTTTTTTTTCTGTGCCAGGGATTGAACTCAGAGGTGTTCGACCACTGAGCTACACCCCAGCCCTTACCAGTTTTTTATTCTTTTTTTTTTTTGGTACCAGGAATCAAACTCGGGACCTTGCGCTTGTGAGGCAGGTGGCAGAACCACTGAGCTAAATCCCCGGCCCATCCAGTTTTTAAAATTTGGAGGCAGAGTTTCACTAAGTTTCCCTAGTGACAATAAGTCTTGTGACTTTTCTGCCTCAGCCTTCTTTAGTGCTGGGATTACAGGTGTGGGTGCCATGATGCCCAGGTTTTCTTGTTTTTGAGTAATTCTCAGCACTTATCATAGAACATACCCCGGAATTTAAATTTAAACAAGTCATTCAATTGCTCAGGCTCTGT